CAGCTTGCGCCTCGGGCGAACGTGTCGATGTCGCATGGGTAGCTGGCATTCCTCTTCACTACAGTTGTATCAAGTTTTAAAGGAGATACTTGCACCCTTTTCATGTTAAAAAATATGCGGGCAAAATTTCATGTCAATTGTGCTGACAGAAATAAAAAACATGTCCAATTTCAAGAAGTTGCCCAAAAATGTGTTTTGAGATAAATGTTTCTTTATCTATACGAAGCTCATCTATACGAATAAGACATGTTAAGATGATTTCTTCGAACATGAAAGCTTGGCATTCATGGCTATTTTGAATATGCGGCTTTAGTGAACTCGTCATGTGAAGTGCAATGTCAAGTGGACAGGTGGCAATTTCCAGGGGACTCCAGACAGTGATGTCCTTTTAGTTCTTAGTAGCCACCTTGTGTTCTCTAAAAGCAATTTTAGCTTGTATAGAGTTGAACTACTATCGTCAGTTTTTTTTGTCGACACAGTAGAGAAACTAAACTTGTGAAAGCAAAGAAAAAGAAAAAGTTGCTTTGGAAAAAAAAAACTGGAATTTTTCTAATCGCATCACCCCTTACGTCTCGTTGATACTTTTCTGCCGATTGCGTTGATGTAAGTTATGTCTCAATGACTGCATTATACTTTGTAGACCACTGTGCTTTGATCATCCACAGGTGTGCGGTCCTTGAGTTTTGCAAGCACATGTCGCCAGGTTTAATGCAGGGGTGCAACAGCTGCCCCAATTGTGCCAATTTGATACAACTCTCCATGTTTGTGCCGAGCTGCGCCGAAACCATGAAAATAGCTTAAATTGCGCCACTCTGCGCCAAAATGCCCGACCGGCTTCAAAATTTTCTCGAGAAATGACGCCCCGTACGTTGCTCTCCTGCAGTTTGAATCATCAATCAATCCAAGCGCACACCTCGGTAACCTAACCACGCTAACCTTAATTCCATTAGGTCAGGGCACTCGCTAGCAGTGATCGACCAGATAAAGTATAAAAGCCGTGCGCCCATCGGTCCACTGACCGCAACAGATACCTATCGGCAGGGCGACGCAACTTCTAGACAAAGATGCGTTGCCGCAGCCGCAACCGCTTCGTGGGAGATATGAACTTCCTAGCCAGCAAAAGTGACTATGCCATGTTAGCAACTAGAGCTGATAACGCATACCACATTTCCCTCGTGCAAATAGAAGCGTCGCGCTGCGAACACCGGCGACCACGTTGGTCGCCATAGCAACGGCACGTAAAACACTCTGTCTTGATGGTGCGTTAATTGCGTCGTCTCGGCGATAGATATTCAATGCTGTCACCGGACCAACGAGCGTCTGCCGCTGTAACTTTATCTGGTAGAATGCGCCTTGCAAACAAGCCGAGATATTGTGCCCTAAACCTAACCCCATCATTAAAAAAGGAGGGTTGGTGGGTAGAGGTCTTCGAAAATCTCTTGGCCTTGTTCCAACTCGTGCAGAATGCTGTTTAAACTACCTTTGCCGCAATGCACCGGTGCCCTGCAAAAAAGCATAATATGATTTGGAAGGGGCTGTTGGTATCACTCATAAGCCAGCAAATTTCGTTCTATTACTCGTGTGTATGCTTCTGCATAATTGCGAGGACTAGTATGATCGCTCACGTCTGAAAAGTTAGTGACAAACATTTGTCGCAGTGTATGACACTTCTGCCACCCTAAAAATAAAACTGCAATTTTTGTTCCTTTCGTCACCGCTACTCCTCAGTTTCACGAATTCTGTCAGAAGGATTTGACAGACGCGGCAAGTGCTAGTGTGGACTTTATCATTGTTTGCTCAGTGGGGTAGATCGAAATACTAGTTTTATTGAAACAGCAGTGCTTATGTTTACTCTGAATGATTTAAGTGATGTTGAATGGCTTGAACATACTTTTTGCTTCTAAATGTAAGCCTTCTTTGCTCCAAATTTGGGCTTGTGTGATGAAATATACATGTTTTATTTTCTGTAACCTGCACCGAATCTGCATTTTAGTGCTCAAAAAGTAAGATTCGGCTGCTCCAAATTCTATTTGGGCTCTTTCACTTCTGCTTATGGTGAGAGAACGGGAGTAGAGGTGCAGGGCAGTGAGGAGTGGGGGGGCAGAGCACTCAACCTGTTACTTGAGCGGGACGCGCTCCCATAGGGCAGGTGTAGTGGGTGATGAGTGAGGAGACCAGGTTATCAATACATTCCAAGCCCCGGCACATCCTCTGCGAGGCAGCAGCAAAATACACGTGAAATCAGTCCGCCACATATTCTTCATTATCCTAATACCTAATATGTTTGTGCAATGACGCATTCAACAGGAGTCCAGCTGTCATCGTAGCCATCCGTACAAAACAGCCGTGTCAAACTACACGTGGTTGCTACCATTGATGCCGCACTTGCCTGCTGAAGAAAAATTCGGAGACTGTGACGTTCAAGGGCCACATGACTGATCGTACTGCGCCTACTCTGCTTTTCAGGCGAGAGCACCACAAAGTGCTCGTGGCTGCTGTCGGCGCAGCAAAAACACTCTTTCTCTACCAGTGGATGACAGTGCACCTGCACCTGTTTGACCACTGAAACACGCTGGCTTTTATGAGAGCACTTTCAGCGTGCTTTTAAGTGCTCCTGCTCTCTCAATGGAATTCGTCATTAAAAATGATTTGTAGGCTCATCGGATGCAAAGCTTTCTAAACAGGGTCTGATTCATCTTGAACATAAGGAACAGACACATTGGAAGTCTCAACTCATGGCACGCTCCCCGTTTTCTGTCGCATGTGCTTTCGCACTGCTTGGCGAGTCTTTCATGGTGAAGTTTACCCTGCTTTTTGGGAGATTTATGATGCACCCACAAAACCTCGAAATTCTGGAGTATCCTGGACGGATCAATAGAGTTGGCAGGTGTGCTTGTACCCTACAGTCGTGCATGTTGACTTTGCAAAGCCTAATCTTCTTTTTAAGTCTGTCTGCTTCCTCTCTCGCTTCTTGTCGACCTTTCATAGGGTGTCAGATTGTGAAGACAGGGTTTTATTTGATGTCATATGTAAGAAGGCTGCCTCAAGTGCAGCAGCACACATAATTGCACCTAAAAGAAAGAGGGAAGCCAGAGCCATTATTAATCTAAAGGCACACAAAGGTGCATTTAAACCTGAACGATTAATGTGCACTATCTTAGACGGTAACAATACTGATTGTTGGCCTAGTTGGTACTTGCTTACTGACATGATTTGGCCGCAAATAATACACACACAGTGTAAAGAAACACTCAACGACAAGCACAAGCGGCACTTCCAACTAAAGTAGACCGGGCGAAAATCCAGGCTTAAGTAACAACATACAGATATGCGCAGTCTTCACACAGCCTTACGCTATCCAGCTATCGAACAATCTCTCTTTCGATAAGTACAATGTCACCGATAGTTTGCTGATACAATTTTCACCTTTCTTTTTAATGTAATATGCTTCCATCAACTCACGCGCAGTTTTATGCCTACTTCTACCTAGAATCTTAACCTCGTTAAAACGTGGTACACACCCGCAGGCTTTACAATGCATAGGCAAATGCGCCAAGCCATCTTTCATTAAATTTAATTCATGCTCCCTAACCCGTTCATTAATAAAGCGCCCGGTAGTCCCGATGTACGAGTTGCCACATAATCCAGCGACTTGAGGCTGCGAAGTTCCCTGACTCCTTATTGACAGCTGTCTCCAAAGCACTTTTGCGGAAAAGAAAAAGTGAATGTACTAGATCTGCCATGGGGGAACAAGGAACTGAAACCGTAAAACCTGCAGTGATTCCTTATGTTCATAAGGTATCCCACAACCTGAAAAAGGTAGCAGGCCGGTATGGGGTACCTGTCGCTTTTTCCGCGCCCATAAAACTGGCTCAGCTGTGCCCGAGAACTGCTCGGGGGGTGGAGGCAAGCCACCAGGGTTGCGGCAAGAAACATGGCACGATGTACGGGAAATGTGCCAACGGTGTTGTTTATGAGATTCCCTTTTCTTGTAGCAACTCGTACATCGGGACTACCGGGCGCTGTAATAATGAACGGGTTAGGGAGCATGAATTAAATTTAATGAAAGATGGCTTGACGCATTTGCCTATGCATTAAGCCTGTGGGTGTGTACCACGTTTTAACGAGGTTAAGATTCTAGGTAGAAGTAGGCATAAAACTGCGCATAATTTGATAGAAGCATATTACATTAAAAAGAAAGGTGAAAATTGTATCAGCGAACCATCGGTTGCATTGTACTTATCGGAAGAGAGATTGTTCGATAGCTGGATAGCGTAAGGCTGTGTGAAGACTGCGCATATCTGTATGTTGTTACTTAAGTCTGGATTTTCGCCCGGTCTACTTTAGTTGGAAGTGCCGCTTGTGCTTGTCGTTGAGTGTTTCTTTACTCTGTGTGTGTATTATTTGCGGCCAAATCATGTCAGTAATCCTAGAGGGTACTGCGCACCACTCTTAGGCGAGGTTTACAACCCACCAAACTGGCGGCACAACAGACATGTCTGCACCAGGGCTTCCCCGCTTCTGCGTGATTACTGTGTGTTCCATGGCCACATGCGTGGGATTTGTACCTGCATGGTGGCGGATTTCTGATTTAAAATTTGTGGGGTGAGAATCATTCTTTGTACTTCCATGGCACATTGCAGTCGAATGGTTCTTGGCTGGGATCACGGAATAATTTTTATCATGCCGAATTTTGTATGAGCTGTGGTCGTATCACTAAGATTTTACTGTATACTCGGGCAGTTTCAAAACAAGTCACTTGCCTCTCCGAGGTACTTGGAATGTCCCATATTGCACTGCTCATTCTACTAGAAAAGTAATTCCGTCTTTGAAATCAGGACATAAGTATAATAAGTTTCAGCAGGTTAATAAAAATTGACTAAAGAGTAAACAAATATGTATGCAAGGCAGGGTGTTCATTGGGGAGAGTGGTGCACACAGCTAGAGATGCTTGTAAGTATGGACCTTCAGGTTTGAACTGCTTTTTTCCTTGTGCACAGAAACTGAGCACAGGGCAGGTGGAAGTTGTGTGCCAGCAGCTGCAGCCATTGAACAAGGCACGGGCTGACCTTCCTTTCCTGCCCAGAGAATACCAGCAGGTATGCTATGGCCACCCTTTTTTGTTTCTTTTACACTGATGTTACTTTGAAGCAGCATTTTTATTTCTCGAGGGGACAGAGTGGGCATGTTTGATGCTATACGTCTTACCATTGTGCTGAGATAATATTGCTGCACAACTTCAATATTTTGCAGTGCTGCCCATTCTGGAGGCCGTGGTTTCAGTTCGTTATTGTCACCCACCAGATGGTATTACATCTAGCTTTGATGAGACCACATGCACTCGCATAATTATTTCACCCACATGCCCCTGAACATAGTCATCAAAATGAGACTTCTTGCTCTCATGATGATCAGCCCCGAACAGCACACCAGATTCATTATGTTTTCATGTTTCCATGAGTGACAGCATGGCTTCTGAAATGTGTATCTAAAATGGTACTTGTGATCATATAGTTTCCTGAAATTAACTATAGGGGACTCTGGGCGCTGCGGTCGTTCAGCCACCATAGGAATGATGGGTAGTACACGGATTTGCCTAGTCTTCGTACTGGCGGGCAGCAAGCAAATCGCTCTTGTGGATTCGTTTATTGTTGTGTTTCTGTTTTGTTTTAAGCAAAAGAACGAACCCTTTTTAACTTTGTGATCCGATTTGAAATGGTAAGCCTAAAAGAATAAGGTGGTGAAGCGGAACTGCTGAACATTTGCAGATTCTTGTTTCATGACAAAACAGCTTCAAGCCACGCGAAGCCAAAAAGAACGTTAATTATGAAGACTAGGCAAATTTGTGTACTACCTTCAGTTCTAGGTTTGTGTAAATATGTCAATGCTTCAAATATTCGAACAAATAGCAGAGTATTCAAATTCACTTTGATAATAGTTTAAATTATAGAAAATTTTGAAGTATTCACAGTGAACGAAGTGGTGTATATCAGTCCGCATGTAACTGCTTGTAAAACTGTTTCGCTGCAGTGTAGGGATGCAAAACCGTGAAAGCACCTGTCCAGGAGAAATCTGCTCTGCCACGAAGCTTCACCTCAAATACAAAGGGCGACACCACGGACCCGAGCTAACGGGGGAGTTTCTACTCCCTCCCACGCCTAGCCGTGCGTGGCTTTGCCGTGTCCGGGGAAAAGGGGATCCTGGGGGTTGAGCCGACGCTGGGTGATTGGACCTTTAAGGCCCCCCGGCAGAGGCAACACACCCCTTTGGCCCCGGCTTCACGTAGACGGCACCCCTGGGCTGACCCACCCAGGGGAAATCGGCAGTCGCCTTTTCCTATCTCTCTCTGCCTACATCTTCGTCTTTATCTCTCCCTATCTATCTGTCCTGTCGTCTACTCTCTTCTGTTTACTTCCATTCTTCCTGGCGGCAAGGGTTAACCCTGTGCAAATAGCCTACCTTGGTCTAGGCGCATTGGGTTATGGCAGTGTTGTACGGCTGACGTCTGCAAGCTTTCAGCACCTGCAAACTTGCAGCGTCCCCTTGTTGGGCTCCGTGGTGGGTGGCCGCCAACGCTGCTGAACAAAAATAAGACCGGCATGCATGGAGCATTCCCTCTTCTGTCTGATCGTACCGCCTTAAAGCGGGTACGCACCGATGATATTAATTTTTTTAACCAGCCAACAGAAACTTTTCCCCATTTCCACGTCATTCACTGTGAGAAAACTGGAAAGCAAGCCAGAACCGTCTCTCCTTTCGTGGTTTCTAGATGTCTTACCGAAACTTTTGGCACAGGATACAAGGTAACCAAAATGGCTAGTGGAGACCTTCTCCTCGAAATCCGTGACAAATAACAATTTAAAAAGCTAGACCGTCTTTCAGATTTCGGTGGCATACCAGTAACCATAACACCACATAGATCAATGAACACAACTCGCGGAGTGGTATCTGACATGGACTTACTTGACTTGACTGAGACTGAACTTTTGGAGGGGTGGAAGAGCCAAAATGTCACTAATGTACAGAGAATCATCATCAGAAGAGATAATAAGGAAACACCGACAAAACACTTAATACTCACATTTGCATCCAGTAAACTACCGGAATCTATTCAAACAGGGTACACAAAGACATCTATCAGGCCGTACATACCAAACCCTCGTCGTTGCTTCCAATGCCAGAGGTATGGCCATGGCTCTAAAACCTGTCGTGGTCGCCAGACTTGTGCACAATGTGGAGTCCTAGGCCACGTGTCTGAGAACTGCAAACAACCGCCACACTGTGTAAACTGCGAAGGAAACCATGCCGCATACTCACGCTCCTGCACATACTGGAAAGAAGAAAAAGAAATAATTACGTTGAAGGTGAAGGAGAACATTACATTTAAGGAAGCACGGCGAAGAGTCGCTCCATTCTATGGAGCTACATACGCTGATGCGGCGCGTCAGGGGGCACCGCCGCACCAGCCCTTGCCACTCCTTCGGCCCGCGCATACCGAGCCGGAGGTTGTGGCACCTGTCCCCAAGGCGGTTGTAGCCCAGGCTACACCGCCTACTCCCAAACAGAGACCAGAGACTCCAAAGTCCTCGGGTCTCAAGGCCTCGCCTCACCAGGCGAGGCCTGAAATTCGAACTAGCAGCCCGCACGTGCGGGCATCCAGTGCCTCCGAGGAGGCAATGGATACGTCGGTACCCTTGGTGCCGAAAGAGCGGCGTGGCTCCTTGGAGCGCGCCAAGAAAACAAAAAAGCCGATAACAGGGCCTGGTGACGGCCCTGTTAAGTGAACTCAAACTCCCTGTCTAAACTGCCACTCGCTTTTCGTACACACAGCACTATTTTACATTCACCATGAACACTCAAATTATACAATGGAACGTCAGGGGCCTTCTCAGAAACCTTGACGACATCCAAGAGCTCTTACACGAACACTCACCAAAAGTGCTGTGTGTACAAGAAACACACCTTAATTCAAAACACACAAACTTTCTTCGTAAATACGTTATTTTTCGAAAGGACCGTGTTGATGCTATGACATCATCCGGAGGTGTTGCCATCATAGTGAATCAAGGAATTGCATGCACACACTTACAACTCCAAACATCCCTTGAGGCAGTGGCTGTTCGAGCAGTTTTTTGATAAACTGATCACAATCTGCACTATCTACATTCCTCCTAGCTATCAGCTGCAAAAACCTGATTTACACTCTTTAATTGATGAACTTCCGGAGCCCTATGTTCTCCTTGGAGACTTTAATGCGCATAGCAGGCTATGGGGTGACTCTCGGTATGACGCGCGAGGTAGACTGATTGAACAGTTCCTTCTCTCCTCGAGCGCGTGTCTCCTAAATCGAAAAGAACCAACCTATTATAATCTCGCCAATAACACCTACTCCTCCATAGACCTAAGCATAGTATCTCCATCTCTTGTGCCTCTACTCCAGTGGAAAGTCGTCAGTAATCTGTACGGAAGTGACCACTTCCCCATAGTGTTGAGCACAAATACAGTAACTGAGTGTCCATCACGTGTTCCCAAGTGGCTCATAAACAGAGCCGACTGGGAACACTTTTATACCATCGCTCGTCTAGGTTGGAATGACATAAGTACTTTGAACATTGATGTTGCTGTCAACTGCTTCACAGCGTTTTTGATTGATGCTGCAACAAAATGCATCCCACAAACAAATGGACACCCTGGAAAACGGCGTGTGCCATGGTGGAACTCTGAATGCCGAAACGCGCGCAAACAGCAAAACAGAGCTTGGAGGCTGCTTCGGAACTCACCGACAGCCGAAAATCTTGACATCTTCAAGAAAATAAAGTCTCAAGGCAGGAGAATGCGTCGGCAGGCCAGAAGAGAAAGCTGGCAGAAGTTTTCGTCAGGGATCAATTCATACACACAGGAAGCTAAAGTCTGGAACATGGTCGGTAGGATAGCAGGAAAACAAGTACACACACTTCCACTCGTAAACACTCAGGGTGACACTTTGGAAGATCAGGCAAACTTCCTCGGTGCACACTTCGAACAGGTGTCCAGCTCATCCCACTATACTGACACTTTCCAAAAATACAGAACAAGAATAGAAAAGCAGAAACTCGAACACAAATGCACTAGATACGAAGCATATAATCAAGCGTTCAGTCTAGCTGAGCTGCGAATGTCTCTAAACTCCTGCAGTACTTCTGCCCCAGATTCTGACCGTGTGGTGTATGAAATGTTAAAAAATCTACCAGCCGAAACACGAAAAACCTTACTTTGTTTGTACAATGCTATCTGGTTTTCTGGCACTATCCCTACCTCCTGGAAAGAGGCTATTATTCTTCCCATTTTGAAAGAGGGCAAGGACCCTTCTTTAGCTTCAAGTTATAGGCCTATTGCACTTACAAGTTGCTTGTGCAAAGTATTCGAAAAAATGATAAACTGCAGACTTGTACATTTCCTTGAAACAAACAATTTGCTCGAGCCATTTCAGTGCGGGTTTCGAGAAAGTAGATCCACCACAGACCACCTTGTTCGTATCGAGGCACAGATCAGGGACGCCTTCGTCCATAAACAATATTTTCTCTCTGTATTTCTCGATATCGAAAAAACTTATGATACTACATGGCGTTTCGGAATTCTAAGAGACCTGTCCCACCTTGGCGTGCGCGGAAGAATGTTTCACATAATCGAAAGTTACCTGTCAAACCGGACATTTCGTGTCCGAGTGGGCACGGTTCTTTCCCAAACATTCGTCCAGGAAACAGGCGTGCCACAAGGTGGTGTACTTAGCTGCACACTTTTTCTCATCAAGATGAATTCCTTGCACTTGTCCATCCCTCGCAATATGTTTTATTGTACATATGTCGACGACGTCCAGCTTGGCTTTAGATCTTGCAACCTGGTAATGTGTGAGCGACAGGTTCAGTTAGGTTTAAACAAGGTCCCCAAATGGGCAGAGGAAAACGGATTCCGACTGAACCTACAAAAGAGCACGTGTGTCTTGTTCTCCCGAAAGAGAGGCATGCACTCAGAACCTGACATTGAATTGAACGGTCAACGTCTGTCTGTCAATGCGGAGCATAAATTCTTAGGATTAATCTTGGACAACAAGTTGACCTTC